ATAGTTAAGTACCTGTTTCAAGTGTCCGATCTATGTTATACTGTGGACTGTTATTATTGTTAAATATAATTTTCATATTTTTATTTATGACATGTCTTATATCATGTAAATGATCGAAAAGACGAATAAAGTTATTATTATTATTAGTATCAGCATTGCACCCGTGTGAAGACGGGCGAGTCGCCAGTCATATAATACATGTATTCTCTTGAGTTGGAGTATATTCGAAAATACCTTTCACCTCTCATGTATACCCAGAATTATATACATCATTTTTCAATTCAGACAGAAACGTAACAATTTCCAGAGTAAACCAGTAAAGCAGTCAAGCTTTGAGGTGTGGAACGATTCAATAACTTCCATGAAACTCCACTAAAGAGTAAACAACAAAAAGGAAATTAACGGCACACGCACGCAAACAAGAATGAAAAGAATAAGGGCCGAGAGGCTCAAGTGTGGAATGCATTAGGCAAATTCTGACATGGTTGACTGACAGAAACTTAGGGGACCCAAACGATGATATTGTCGTTTCACCGACGACGTCGTCGGTACAATGGAAGTTCGATAGCTTTTTATCTTTCGAGGAAAACTTGCGTGAAGAAATCCGGAGTGACGTTTTGTTGAATTTAATTCAATACACAATATCGATTGCTGAAGCAACAAAGCGATCAAAGGAGCATAATTTCACAGGGCGAATAATAGGAGCATAATTTCACTGGGATGGTTTTAATAATACTGATACTAATTGTAATGTTTGTATTTTCAACAAGTTCTACCTCACTAGAGGAAATATAGAATCGTATATAATTGGTTATATCAACTACTATCAGTACCTAAGAAGCTCTCCCAAAGTCAATCAACAAATAACGAAATTCAAAATATTAACACGGATCATCAACTCCATATACAGGGTGTTCCTTAAACACATGCTAATATTTAAGGAGGTAATTCTTAGACCCATTTTAAGAAAGAAACTTCCTATGGACGTATGTCCTAAACGCCTTAACTTTTGAGATACAGGGTGGCAAAGTTTTCAAAAATAATCAGTTTTTTAATAATAACTGAGATAATTTTGTAGACATCTTTGGCATATTTGGT